ACAGGGATGTTTCTCTCCCTCCCTCTCTTCCTCCCTCCCTCTTTCTAAAAATAAATAAAATGTTTTAAAAAACCCAAACCCAAAACCACAAATGTACGTTGCACCCCCAAGCATTCCCATGGTCCCCTCACAGCCCTCGTGTCTGTCTGGAGAATGCGGGTTTATAAAGAGCAGCGAGACCCGTCGCCGCGCCGGGGTGGGCTGAGCTGAGCCGACAGGCTCCCGGCTCTGGAACAGCTGGGCCCTTACTTCGGGTTTTAAATAGACAAGCAGCGAGAACAGCCCCAGATTTGGAGACAGAGATCTGAGTTTGCAGGGGTAAGGGAGGGTCCCAGGCCGGGCCTGAGCAGGGGCAGCCGATGCGCATTCTCCACGAAGCTCGCCCCCTCGCTGGGGGCGCTGAAACCGCCGCCGAACCAAACCCTGTCTCGACAGCACAACCGTCCCAGAGCTGCCGCGCGCACTCGGGGGTTGGGGGGAGCAGGGTGTGGCAGCCGGTGAGGGCGGTGCTGCGGGGGGTGCTCTGGAGCCACGAGACCAGTGGGGGAGTTGCTGACACCTCACCCGTTTCCATCGCTGGGCGTTTTTGTGGGACGGTGGGGGCACTGGATGCTCCCCTCTGCGGAAAACCCCGCCGCCGGCTCCACAGCCAGAATTCCTCCACGGCGACTTAGGTCGCGGGAACGGGTGTTTCCCACGACGGGCTGCCCTTGCACCCGGGGAAGCCGCTCCTCGCAGCCACCAGCAGCGCCGCGGGGAGGACACACCATCCTGTGAGCCAGCCTCCTGTCGCCCAGACCCCGTGGAGTGACATGCCCCATGGCCTGGCCTCCTCCGGCCGGGCTCTGTGCTCAGGTCAAAGTCATTCCCTCTTTTCGAGCCAGGCTCCAGGCCCAGTCTGGGCCAAGCCAGTCCCGCCGGCTTCGCTCCCTCCCTGCCTTCCGTGACGCTGGGAGATGGTGCCTCTGGTTCTTGCGGTCGGGCCGCGTCGCCTTGCGCACGGCCGGGGGTCGGTCTCGTGCAGGGCACCTGCCTCTCACACCCCCGGGGCCCCTGGGAGGCTGTGAGAGCAGCCACCCCTCTTGGAAATGGTTTTATTGCCTGTGACCAAAAGGTTTTTGAAGCAAAAGCTGTTGAGTCAATAAGTGTTTCTCACCTGAAATATGAAGCAAGGCCAAGGAACACAGCTGTGAACTTGACCTGGAAAAACAAGGAGGTCCCTCCGCTCAGGAGGGAGGGACAGGAGAAGTCACACAAGAGAGAGGGTGCTCAAGGCCGGTGGGAGCCCACCCAGCCTGCTGTCAGCAGCTCGGCACCCCCAGACCCTGCCCCTCTCTCTGCATGGCGATCTGGGCCCCCGGTGCCCCAGGAGAGAGAATGTGGGGGCAGCCTGTAGACCCCCCGGCAACAGCTATGGCCTGGGATACGTGGTGTGGGGGTTGGGAGGGGGGGTCAGTTTCAACTAAGGGGAAAACATGTAAGTCAGCATCGGAGCCTTTTAGAGTAATTCCTATGGGGAGGACACCCCAAAGTGCTGGTTACAGAATAAAAGACCAGGACTGACCAAACCTTGACTAGAGACCATCAGTGAGGGAGGGTCTTCTCCCTCTTTCTCCCTCCCTCCCTGTCTCTGTTTCCTTCCATCCACCCACCTGTCTGTCTGCCACCTGTCTGTCTGTCCACCTCCCTCCCCACCTTTGCCCAGAAACCACACAGTGTCTTTATTGCCGCCTTTGAGTTGGGCGCATGGCTCTCGCTCTCTGTGACCCGGGGAGAGACCATCGGGTAACCATGATGTCGTGGAACAAAACCTCGAACTCTTTGGAGCGAGTGTTACCTAGCAGGAGGAAGTCACTGTGGGTTGTTACACCTTGAAGTGACTATTTACTCAAAGATTTTGTGAGTTCTTCCGTGTGTGCGTCCGAGGGGGTTGAGCAAGTGGACACACTCTTTGTTCTTTTTTTAATGATTTCATTTATTTATTTTTGGAGACATGACAAGGGAAGGAGAAAGAGAGGGAGAGAAACATCAGTGTGTGGTTGCCTCTCACGTGCCCCCTACTGGGGACCTGGCCTGCAACCCAGGCATGTGCCCTGACTGGGAATCAAACCCGGGACCCTTTGGTTTACAGGCTCATGCTCAATCCACTGAGCCACACCGGCCAGGGCCACACTTCGTTCTTTGTTGGCAGTTCTCTGGGGAGGTCCGAGACCTACACAGCCTTGGGGTCCTCGTCTGCCCACCCACCTCACATGGCCACTGGAGACACCCACAGGCCATGCTCAGCTGGCAAAGCAAGCATTTTACGGTCGAAAATGAATTCACTTTCTCCACTTCAAACATGAGCTAAAAATAAATTTGCTGTCAAGTAGTTTATCACTCGTCATTGTGTGAGGGAGAGTCTCTGAGCTCGGGGCTGGAGCCTGGAGTGACCGCCGGGAAAGGGACTTAACCTCTCTGAGTTGTTGGGTTTTTTATTTTTTATTATTTTTTTGGTCTTTATAACGAAAGAGCTGGGTTAGAAGGTCACTGTATAACTTCCAGTTGTAAAGTCTGTGTTTAGGATTTTTTTTGAATTCACTTTTAAGCACAATTTTAATAAAAGCTAACAAAAAACTGTATGCTTCGGCAGTTTATCATTTACTCACATGCACTCCAGATTGAGACTGTCGTATGCAAGTCTAGAACACAGAAGGCTCTGGGGAGCGAGGCGCACGCCTGTCGTCCCCTTTAGGGAGTGACACCCGACTCGTTTCTGTGTGGATCTGAAAACGCCGTGGGTGGAAGTCAACTGCCAGCCCCATTCCAAGGTGTACAAACAAGATTGAAGTCTCTGCTGCAAAAGGAAATGACTCTGGACGCCCATTGTTCCCGGCAGAAGGTCGTCCCGGGTCTCTGCAGTCGACACCGGAGCTGGCAGAGGCCAGAGCGGAGAGCAGGCCTCTCCTTCTGGAACATTCCGTCTCGGCCAAGGGGGGTGAACCGAGCCCGGCAACGGTACACACCTGCAGAGCACGTGCACGTCTCGCCTGCAGCAGGAAGCCTTCTGTGCCTTCCCCGGCCACGGCGGCAGCACCTCTGGACGGAACCGGAGTCCAGTGCGGGCTCTGTCCCCTTTCTAAGCGTGTGACCTTGGGCCGGCTAGGCGATGCCTCTGTGCCTCCGTTTCTTCCAGAATAGGGCTAGCCTTAGGGCTGCCGTGCCCATTAACGGAGATGACACATGACACACAGCGACCGTCAGCTGTAATTACCACTTGATTCCATAACCAATTATTGGATGTGTGCTCGGCTGTAGCCTCTAGATACCAGACCCTGAAATACTTCGGGGGCCCAGCCTTTGTGTGTTTGAGTCACAGTGTAGATCTGCAGCTGCGGTCGACCGGTCCAGGGAGTGGAGGCCGTTAGGAGGCAGCGGATTTTTAGGCTGGGGGAGGGGGTGCAATGTAAACGAAGTAGTTATTCGCGGTCTCGCCCGGACACTGTCGCTCCGGCGCCAGGTTTTGGACAGCGCCCTGAGATGCGTGTTAAAACCGGGATGACATTCAAAGAGTCAAACGAGCCTGATTAGACTCACGTCCTGTATTTATAAAAAGGTTAGCGGCGTGCTTCCTCAGTGCCGATTATTTTTGGCTCTTACTAATACTGAGGGATAAATGAAGTCTGTCCAGCGTAACGTACATGGTTAACCTGCCCCAGCCCTCAGCTCGCTGTTGTTCAGGGAGATGCCGGAGCGGGTGCTGCACCTGGACCAGTGATTCCAGCAGCCAGGGGGTTGGCAACATGTGAAAAGGGTTTTCAAGACGAGAAATATGACGATGATGCTAGTGCATTTTATATAAACTCATGCTGCAAATGGTGTGGGAAGACATGCCCTTTGCAGGCGCTTCCCCTGGGACGTTTCCCAGCCTTGTCTGCGCAACGAGCAGCTGAGGTTCCTGCTGCGCAGGCTGTCTCAGGTGGCTGTGCCCGTGCGTGGTTCGGGTGGTGACTTCCCAGGAGGAGCTGGCCACTCCGCCTCGGTGACCTCAGGCTGGGCTGGCTCTGCTCGCGCTGGTTTGGTGGCTCTTTTGGTGACTTTGGGGTCCTGAGCCTGTCCATGACAGCTGCCCTGCCCCCTGCCCACGGGGTTGGACAGATGCTGGCTGAGTGCTGGGTCCCTTCATTTGCACCGTCGGCTCGGGAAAAACTCGGACGCGAAGGGGAGGCACGCACAGGCCTCTCGACGACGGGCAAATTGAGCTCCAGCTCTCCCCAAGACGGGCAGCGGGACCCACCGCCAGAAACGGGCGTTTTTCATCCGTACCCCGTTACAGAGGGCGTTTCGGGGAGAAGGACCAAACACCGCCGTGGCTTCTCCCGGCCTCCGTGCCCCGTTTCCGCGTCCCGCCCCCAGGACACACGCCAGGCAGCCCTGCTCACGGGGACGCAGCACGCGACAGAGGCCCGGTTCGGGCCCAGTCTCGGTTCTCCGGGGAGAGCAGCCGCTCACAAGTATGAGGTGGGTGACTTTGGGCCACCAGGCTGGGGCCTTCCCGGTAGGACGTGGAAACAAAACAGTAAGTACCGCCCTGCCCCGCTACAAAAACAAAAACAAAAACAAAAACCCCGGGCGCCGCCGCCGCCGCCGCCACTAGCAGCCCCGCCGGCCCGGAGCCCGACAGGGAAACAAAAGCAGGACCCGCCTGGGTTCCCGCGACCCGGACGCGGGGCGGAGAGGAGACCGGGCCCGGCCGCGGGGGGGCGCTCCGGGGACTCGCACCGGCTCGGCCCACACTGGGGGCGGGGCCTCGGCGGCGGTGGGCGGGGCTTCGGCGGCGGCGGCGGCGGGCGGAGCCTCGCGGGGGGGCGGGGCCTCGCAGCCGGAGGAGGAGCCGCCTCGCGCTGAGCCGGCGTCTCCGTGACAGGCGCTCTCGGCCACCGCCGCCGCCGCCGCTTTTTCTTCCCGGTCCCGGGCTGCCCGCCCTGCTCCCGCTGTCCGGCCTCCCCGCGACGGGACCTGCGCGGCCGCAGCACCGCCCGCCTCGGCGCCGCGCCGGCCCCCGCGCTCTCCGCGCGCCCGGCGCCCGCCCTCCGCCCCGGGTCCGGCCGCCCCTTCCCGCCGCCCGCGCTCGCCATGCCCAGCAAGACCAAGTACAACCTTGTGGACGACGGGCACGACCTGCGGATCCCCCTGCACAACGAGGACGCCTTCCAGCACGGCATCTGCTTCGAGGCCAAGGTGAGGGCGCCCGCCGCGGGCGGCGTGGGGGGCGGGCGGAGGGGTCCCGCCCGGACCGAGGGGGGAGGGGGCGGGCGGGCCGGGGGCCTTTGCGCTGGCGGGGGGGCAGCTCTGAGTGCGGAGTCCGCGGCTGCTGCCCGGAATCGGGGTGTGCTGGCAAAGTTGCGGCGGTATCGCCACCCCCGCCTGCAGACCCCCTCCGCCCCCTCCCACCTGCAGAGCCCCGTCCTCCCCCTCCTCCCACCTGCAGAAACCCCTCTCCTCCCCTCCCGCCTGCAGACCCCCCTTCGCCCCCTCCCGCCTGCAGACCCCGGCCCTCCCCCCTCCCCCCCACTTGCAGACCCCTGCCCCCCTCTCCCACCTGCAGACCCTTGTCCTCACTGGCCCAACACTGATGGCCGCATTCCAGACCCCGTCCTGGGGAGATCAGCCCCAGCAGCCTGGGGCCGGGGGCAGTGAGCACAGCCCGGACACCCGGCCCCTTAGAACCAGCTCGGGGAAGCTCTGGTGTTATTTACCTGCCGGGATCCCACGGGAGAGGCGCTCTCGAGAACGCCTTTGGAGGGGGAATACCCGCTTCCGGGTTGAGGAGCATAACGCAGGGTGCGCTTCAGGCTCCAGGGAGCCAGGCCCCGGTCGGTCCTTCCCCACGCCCGGGTGGCCAGGACTCCTTGGCAAGTGGCAGTCAGGGAGGGGGGCGGGCTGAGAGCCCCCTTCTGCTGGTTCCCTGGCACAATGCGAAGTCTCAGCAGCTCGCAGGTGCAGAGTTTAGGGGGGTGACCAGGTTCCCAGCCCGGGGCCAGAGCCTGGGCCTCCGTGGGGCGGGGTGGGTGGCGGCCCCTGTTCTGGACACTCAGGTGTGAATAAGCTCCCCCCCCTTCCCGCCCCCCCCCATGCTGCGTTTCTCAGAGCCAGGAGCTCTGGTTTCTAAAATTGCAGCTGGGGTTCCCACTGCCCATCGCGGTGGAAGAGTGCCCATCACCTGTGGAAAGGTGGCACTTTCCGTGTGGAGGTGATTTTGCTCAGCACTCCCTGCTTCCCCTGCAGGGCTGTGTGGGTGCAGGTGTTGGCAGCGATCGGGCCGTCACGTGGCCCCTTCGTGGCAGCCATGAACCCTCTTCTGAGCGTGGACACGGGCCCCGGGCTGTTGGTCCTGCTGGGATCTGTCCCCTTCTCTTGGACATGTGTGTTGGGGATCTGCCTCTTCCTTTGCCCCCCAGTAACCTTCCCCCGACCGTCTTGGCCAGTAGAGCAGGGACACCCCCTGCCCCCAGACGGCAAGCCCCGCGGTGGAATGCGGAGCCGAATCACTGGCTGTGGCTGGGACCAGAGTGGGGCTGCCGCCACCGTCTTATCTCGCTTCTCTCAGAATAGATCTGGTCGGTCTAGGAAGGGATGTTTGGGTTAATTTTTGTTCAGGCCTGTTGCTTTGGTAAGCAGGTTTTGTTTTTTAATTTTAAATCACGTGTTTCCACTACCGTCACAACTTAAATTTTCTTGGATGTACCTTAACTGGGAACTTGGCTTCTGTTTTGTTGGGTTCCCTGGGGCTCTGTTTTGCACGAATGAGGGTGAGGAGAGAGATCAGGTTTAAAATGTTTCGAGCCTTCTATTTCCTTCTCCCAGTCTCCGCACTGGATCCCCGCTCAGGGTCGAAGCCTGGCGTGCGTGCGAGTCGCCAGATGAACACGTTAAACAGTCCGCTTCTCGCAGCCTCCAAGTCTAATCTGATGACTCCTGGGGGAGCCCAGGACTGTGGGTGTTAGGGGGCATTCCCTATGGTCTGATGCAGGTGGCGGGGTCCAGACTTCGGGAACTACTGGGCTTGCGGCTTGCCTCCAACTTGCTGGGCCTTGCCCTCCCTTTCCCGGTTTCTTTTCTAAGCGATGTCTGGGGGCTGCGTGATGTGGTTTCTATGGCAACTTCCCTGGGCTCCCACCCAGCGATGCTCCAAAAGAGGAGGGGGTGCCCCCGAGGGTCGGGGCTGTTTCCCAGCACAGAGCCGAGTGCAGGGAGGAAGCTGAGTGTGGTGAGACAGGGGAGGAGGGACAGGGCTCCGAGGACAGGGTCCCACCTCCCGGGCGGTAAGGCTTGATGCCGGGCGCCCGCACCTGCACACCCCACCAGCTGAGACCCATGCAGAAGGGGGAGCAGAAGCTTCTCTGTCCTGAGCACACCCAGTTTCCACGCCCCCACTCCTGGGCCGTGCCTGGGAAGCCGCACGGCTGCTGCACAGTTGGGGCTGAGTGTGCAGCACCTCTGCTTGTTTTGGCCACGCACCGGCTGTGCAACGTTAAGTGCGTGGCTGCTGCCTTGACAGGTCCCCCTGGAGGGCCAGCCAGGGCCTTCCTCCCCAGGGCTGGCAGGCTGGCAGAGTCCCCGGGAAGAGCGCGACTGGGTAGCTGCCTCTCGTCTCCAGGGCTCTGCAGAGGTCGAAAGGTTGTGGCTGGGTTGAAGGGCACCCCGACGTCAGAGGTCTGGCACTTAAAAAAACCCCACCGTGTTCAGCTACAAGCAGAATCCTAGGTGCTTTTCACCTGCAGGGCCTGGCGTGCTTCTCATCGCCTCCCTGGAGCGGGCCTCCTCGTGTCCGACCCCCAGGGATGCTGGGGTGCTTGGGGCCGCGCAGTGGTGCACGGCAGCGCGGGATGGAACCTGGGCCCGGAACTTGAGACTCCCACACCCGCTGCTGCCTCACCTGACGCTCTGTGCTGGGCAGTGGTCTGGCTCACAGCTCGCTGGTGGGCTGCCTCTGGCTGTGGGCCCCTCAGACTCTGCTGTAGGACATTTTCCCAACTTTTCATGCTGGGCTGTTCCCAGACCCCCCCCCCCCGCCCCTTGGACTGGAAGCTGCTCCCCAGGGCAGCCCACACAGGCCCCTGCTCCCCGGCTGTGGTGGGTCACGTGGCCCCTCCGTGTCTCGGTGTGCCTCCCTGGGGGCCAGCGCCACCAGCAGACCCTCTGCTCCCTGGGTAAGGAGACACCTAGCGAGGACGGTGTGAGAGTTCGTGAGAGCTGTGAGCCTTACACGCACAGGCGATTATCGACGTGCACGGGTCCTGCACACACAGAGGTCTCCTCGTGTGCAAACAGGCATTCCTGGCATCTGTGTTTCTGCAATGAAAATACGGGGCTCGGAGTGACGAACCTGCCCGGAGTCGCAGAGCTGATGAAAGCCTGGTGACGGCGGCTGATGCTCTCACTGTGGGCTGCGGCTGTCCCCGGCGAGGCCTCGTTCAGTCCACACCCGGCACTTTGCCCCGGCGGTGGCTCTCAGCGCCCGCAGGGCGCAGACCACAGGAAGTGGAAAGCACCAGAGCATCCTCGTGGTGCGGAGGCGGCGGCTCAGGTCCCAGGGAGGGCAGGTCACGGGCACAAGGTCACAGACCCTGGTGAGAACAGAGCCAGGATTCGCCCTCGCTCTCTGGGTCCCTCCAGCCTGAGTTCAGGCACCGACTGCTGCTGCACCAGCAACCTCCCAGCCCGGGGCTGTACCTGGGCGCCTGTTTAGTGAGCCGCTGCTGCCCTGGGCCCGCCGCGGCTGCGCTGCCGGTGTGCCCCCACCCGGGTCACTCAGGGGCTGCAGCGAGCTGCAGGGGGGCTGCACCGGAGGGTCGTAGAGGTGCCATTCCCATGGCTGGTCTCCCCACGGCAGCTCTTTCCACACGCCACTCCTGCACGGCTGCACAGCCCCGCGGCCCTGGCACCAGGCAGCTGGTTCCCAAGAGGCAGTGTTTGCAGTGGCGAAGGCAGAAGCTCTTGAGGCCCGGCCTCCAGCGTGACCCAGGGTCACTGCTGCTGCTGCATTCTGCTGGGCACCTCGGGGCGTCGGCCTGCTCAGATTCCAGGGCAGGGACGTGGGCATCGCGTCCCGATGGGGGCGTGGAAGTCCCACCGGATGAGCGTGCAAGGGACGAATGACACTGCAGAAGTGAGCCGTCTTTGGGTCCCAGCGGGCCACCGCACTTGTGGTCTTCCCCGGGCGTTCCCCTGCGCTGACACCGAGTGTCCTCGGGGGACCTGGCCCCCGCCGCCAGGCCCTGTGTCCACGGAGGAAGCGCTGGTGGTGCGGAGTCTGGAAGCAGCAGACGCAGCCACACCACCAGGCGGTTGCACACACATTTCAGTGAGCCCTTGGAGGCCTCCCCGGCATCCGATCCACTTTGCCGTTAATTTTCCTGAAATATAATTACGTTACTCTCCTCCTCAAAACCTCTAGAAGATCCCCAGTCCTTAGCGTGACGTTCAGGGCTCTCTGGTTTTGAACACCCCCTCACTGCCCCTGCGCTCAGTCCGGCAGGAGTGCTCACCAGCCCCTAAGTGCCCCAGCAATCGCCCGCCTGTCACCAGTGATCTGGACGCCACCTGCCCCTCCCCCGTGTCAAAAGGACTGGCCAACCTGCTGTGGACCAGAGCTGCCTGCCAGTCTGATTACACCCCCACTGTCATGGCCAGGGTCCCTGCCCCTTTGCCGCCGGTGTCCCCTTCTCGGCTGAGTGCTGCACTTGGGTGTAGAAAATGCACTCTGAATGAATGTACATAATTTCCAAGACACTCCCAACAAGGACTGCTGGGCCCTCCTGTGTCGCCCAGGGTGGGAGGTGCTTCCGCTGGCTCCTGGCTCCTGCCTGCCGTTGCTCTGGCCTCAGGCCTGTACCGCTCAGTCCCCAGAGGCCCCACCCAGTGCCCCACAGGGCACCCACTCCCACCTCCCAAAGGCAGTGCCGAGGACGCCAGCACTGAACACATGGAGTCCCAGCGACAGACGGGCAACGCAGTTAGAATCTTTGATTGCGGAACATGTGGCCGACTTCAGTAGCTGATTGTCGTTTATAGGTAAAAACACACCTTCAACCTTGTTGTCATCCCGTCAGTGAAGTGGTCCCTTCCCTCCACCTCACTGTTTTCTCCTAACCTGCCACGTCGCAGTGTTTCCGACCTGAACGTGGCTGCAGACCCCGCCCTGTTCCTCCTTTGCCGTGGGTCCTCGTGTGGGCTCC